TATCCTCATGATGGAAAAATTTACTTCTGCACCTCTCGGGACATTCCCCCTGAACAYGAGCTTCTCTTCTATTACAGTCGGGACTATGCACGACAGCTTGGTAAGGAAGAGCTCATTTTTGTTGGCTTTGCAGGGTGTACCCAGCTTGAATTCCCTTTCAGTGCCATCTCTGGGCTCTCTGACTTGGGAGTGCATTCTGTTCCTTCTCAGTTCCTACTAGTGCATGTCATAGTTTCCTTTTACATTTTATGACTACAGAGTACCATCATTTAAAAGAAACACTTCCCTATTTAATTCCACTGATCAGGAGTAAAAGAGAAAAAGCTTTTTTTTTTTTAAAGAAAAAGCATTGTTTTAGTTATGTGCATGCAGTGCTAAGGGAATTTTGGAGCTGAAGATGTTCCTGTCCTCCCTCACCTTGGGTTGTGGTTATTTAGATTTGGTGGAGCTGTGGTCAAAAYTGTTCCAAAATTTGGCCCCTCAAAACATTTCAAATGACCTACCTGAAACAGTTGGAAAGCAACACCAAAGCTGAAAAGAACAAAGGTGAAAATCTCTGCATCTGGCTTTGCTACRGACAAAATGTTAATGTGGACCTTGATCATGCTCTCCCAGTCCTTTCTGTGCCTCATTACAAGTGATGCTTTTGTGCCCAAAGGTGTCCCTGAACATCCAGATGTGCACATCTGCCACTGTGGAAAGGAATGTGCTTCCTACACGGACTTCAAGGCCCATTTGAGCAGCCAYATTCACAACCACCTCCCCACCCAGGGGCACAGCAGCAACCACGGGCCAGGCCATGGCAAGGAAAGGAAGTGGAAATGCTCCATGTGCCCCCAGGCTTTCATCTCCCCCTCCAAGCTCCACGTGCACTTCATGGGGCACATGGGCATGAAGCCACACAAGTGTGATTTCTGTAGCAAAGCTTTCAGCGATCCCAGCAACTTACGGACACACCTCAAGATCCACACAGGTAAGGGCTGAGGGCTTTGTGAGGACAGGGAGGAGGGTCAAGGTCAAAGTGGATATTTCTGTCTCTTTTTTTTTTTTCCCAGTATTCCCTATTGGGAATCACAAAATGCAAATTACAAAGGTGGAAAAGGAATAAAACTCGGAGTTCGGTGCTSTCAGGTCAAGCATAGGAAGCTGTAGGCTTTGTAGTCAGGAGTTTTAATGAACTGAGCAAGTACAAATGTGGTATACACAATCACAGAATACCTGGGTGGAATTCAAGTGGTGTTCAAACTTRGAACTCAGTAGCATGCAGGGGTTTTGAACTATTTCTGGCAAAGAATAAGTACTGATAATGGGAAAAATGGGATTAAACATACAAGTTGTCAAAGGGTCAGTGAGGTTTGTACCTGTGTGTTTGTTAGATAAGAGAACTTGTTTTTGTAGACAAAGGCAATGCAGTGCATCAAATGTGTTTGGGCTCCAGTAAGGCATCAGATACAATTCCTGTGGGAAATCAGTGGTGATAGGGATGTACTAATGTACAGTAACTAGATGGTTACCRTGGTTACTGTTACAAAGGAAGCTACCATTGTTTTTACTCAAGAATTCACCTTGGGTAAGACTAGCCTTTGTAAGTGTTAGCCTAAATGTCTTGGCAGAAAAAGAAAAAGAAAAAGAAAAACCTGCTGGGGGTGTTTTGATGTCCAAAACAGGGAGGCACAGTTGGTGTGGGGAAGAAGTAGAAAGGCTGACTGACTSAAGCAGTGGAGAAACAAGATACAGTGGTGTTAGGGCAGAGTGAAGAAAGGTGCATCCAACTAGGGGATCAGTGGTTTGACAGTGTCATAACGTTGTTTTTTGGCTTGGGGGCATGGAGTAGGGGATGAAAGTCTTTGGGAATGATGAAGTCAGATGCCTGTTTTTTTGCATAGTTAAATATAGATTGGAACTAAATAAGCTTTTATGCTGAGTCTGAAGGAACTGCAAGAGAAAACAGGTCCTGTTCACCAAGAACCTGCCTTTCTTCAGGGTATAATTTTATTGTTCAGCAGTGGTCAGGCTTGTTTGCTYACTCATTTCTTGGGACACAGCCAATCTGTGATGTGCACGTGTCCTCCTAGGTCAGAAGAATTATCGTTGTACCCTCTGTGACAAATCATTCACGCAGAAAGCTCACCTGGAGTCACACATGGTCATCCACACCGGGGAGAAGAACTTAAAGTGTGATTACTGTGAGAAACTCTTCATGCGGAGGCAGGACCTCAAGCAGCACGTCCTCACTCACACACAGTAAGTGACCTCACAGGAGCTGTTGGGATGATCAGTGCAAGAAATAATGAAGCTGAACAGCCCAAGATGCAAAGGTCCTGTTTGCAAAGTTTGGCTTAGGGAGCATAGATGGGCTCATCCTCTCCCAGAGGACAGAAATGACAGAAGTTGGTCTGGACAAAATATTTTTTTTTGTTTTACTGGCTGCAGTTGTGGAGTGATAGTGTTTGCAATATTGCATTGACACAGTAAATTCCAAGTGTGCCCCTTGTCTTGACAAATGGCAGTCTGGAATGTTCATCATTTTTAAGAGAAAGGGAGTTGTTTGATTTACATTTCATTCTTTTTTGAGAACTGTTTTCACATCCCAGCGTGACAGCTAAAGAGATATACTTCTCAGTGCTATTGTCACTGAGTTAATGAACTCTGCCTGTTTGCTCTGGGGGTGTGGTGGAGCCATTCCCAGTCCTTTCCTCCATGCAGGTCTCACTCAAGCACTTGCTCTCTCCTGCTCCTCCTGTAGGCAGACCCCCTACCCATAGTCCTTTGCTGGGCCAAGTCTTCTGCTCTGAGAATCTCTACATTCTGTACATTTACTCCCAATCCAAGGTCCTCCCTGAAAAGCTTCTTGCCCRAAGCAAGTCCTTTGCTTACTTTGTTTTCAGCATCTGCTTTTCGTACTCACTTGGAATCCATTGCTACTTCTGTCAYGCTGCCTAGGAGACAGTGTAGTGCAACCAGCATGAGGGAGAGGCATCACACAGACTTGTTTGCTGCTGGTTCCTACAGCCTGAGCCAGGAGCACTGCTGCTGGSAGGTGTTTTGCAGAGTCATTACAGAATTTGTTATGGTCTGGTAAGCTCCTCTGTTCAGCATTTATGGACTGAGGGTTGTAAACATGCAGCAGTCTTATTTTATTCTTCCCTGCCTCCCTTTATGTAGGGWGGGAAGGAAGCTGACCTTTCCATCAAGGGCAGTATCTCTGTCCTTGCTAAAACATGGACCTTAATCAGTATTTTAATAGCAGCTGCCCTGTAGCAGGAGCAAACTCACTTTTTTGTGTCTTGCAGAGAACGGCAGATCAAGTGCCCCAAGTGTGACAAGCTGTTTCTGAGGACAAATCACTTGAAGAAGCACCTCAACTCACACGAAGGAAAGAGGGACTATGTCTGTGAAAAATGCACCAAGGCTTATCTAACCAAATATCACCTCACTCGACACTTAAAAATATGTAAAGGCCCCACCTCCAGTCTGTCAGCCCCAGAGGAGGAAGAGGAGGAGGATTCAGAGGAGGAATTAATAGACTCTATGAGGACTGAAGACTGTAGGATTAACAATGGASTCTGTTCCACAGGTGATGCTCTCTCTGGACACAAATGAAGAGAGGGAAACTTCCTTGGATATTGTAACTAGGGAAGGAAAAAACCTCTTCCTTGTCTCGCCAGTCATGCCAGTGTATGTCAGGTGAGGAATTTTCCTTCTGTTTTGGTCTCCACACTRCCATCACTTACTATAATCTGTAGCCAGAACACTGAATGAAACTGGATCACGTGTAAGTGAAGAGTTGCTAAGAAGGAAACGTGAGGCATGATTTTTTTTTTCCACACACGCTGCGTGTACTTCTTTTCCAAATCACTCAGATTACTCCATCCAGTGCTGGGACACGTAACAAACCTTTCACAGCCCTTCAAGCAAAGAGCCACAAACGAGAAATGGAGCTGAGGGATTGCAGTGACCTGTAAGCCAGCTGTTCTTAACTGCCCAAGCCATGACATGAAGAGAAACAAACAAAAAATTGTGATGGCCGTTGATGTATTTTAAAATCTTTTAACTGAAGGATGTGGTTTGGCACAAAGCAAAGACTTACCAGTGCTCATGTTTCCTTCTTAAAACAAAACAAAACCTTTTGGTTTAAAAAAAAAAAAAAAAAAAATCAGCACTTGCAAACAACGTAATTACCCCACTACAGAAAATCAAACATTGGTTTTTGGAGAACAGTTATTGCCTCTTCTGCTTCCCTCACGTTCAGGGAAGGAGGTGAAGAGATAAAGACTGTATGGACTCAGTAAGGAAAGTGCTTACAGATGATCAGGCAGTGTTTACAGTATACATTACTCCTTGTGCTGTAAACCTTTTACCACCTAGAATGATGGGAGGGTTTGCTGCTAATATTATTTATGGAATGAAGATTATTACATTTGGTTGTCTTCTTTTGAAATAATTAAAATGTGGCTCTTCTCTAATGTTCTTTTTTAATATTTACATGAAATAAGAATGTTCCTATTTCTGAGATTGTTGCTAAGAGAAAGAACACCACTTTAATCATCTGCCTCTCCCAAGCTTTCCTGGGACACAGTAGGTGTAGAAGCACCTCCACAAACTGGTGCACCTGAAAAACAGTAGATTTGCTGTGTCACTTCTCTGGCTGTGCTGCAAAAGAWTCAGCTGTGCAGTGTTCTCTGACAAGATAATGGGAGATTCCCATGGGAAGGAGGTTCTGCTTCTGGCCCCAAATGCCCTAAGCTCAGCTGKACCTCTCCCTGTACACTGCAGTTCCTAGAGAGCTCCCAGGGTTCTTAAAATGTGAAAATACTTGCCCTCAGATCTGTGTGTTACTGAAAAGCTCGACAGAAGACAGGTGCAGGGATCTTGGTAAGTCAAAGGAAAGATGTGTTGCTTCCAGTAATGCAATTTCTTCCAAAAACAAAACCAACTATGACAACTACAGTGCCAGTTAAATTACCAGAGGTAGAGATAAGAAAAAGCACTTACCCTCAAAGAGCTTAACACAAAGCATTTATTTAAAATTAAAGCTTTGAAAAACTTGAAGCTTTTCAGTGGAGAATGCTTGAACAGGGGTGGTTCTGGTACTTTCATGTTCTTCAGCTTCACAAAAGCAGTTGTTCACTTGTTGTCCACRCATCAGTCACTATTCCTTGGCAGAGACAGGATCAAGGCAGGAATCCCAACACATCCAGAATATTCTTGGTTCCTGCAGAGCCATGCTGAACACCTTCACCAAACTAGAAACAGCTGAAGCAGATTTAGAAGTGACCAATTACCTCAAAGAAGAGGAGGGAAAGTTACACACCTGCCTCTTCCCCATCTGCAGTTCATAGGGACACAATTTATTGCTTTACCTCACCAGAATGAATTACAGCTGACACGGTAGAAAATGGGCAACAGCTTGTCAGCTCCCAGTTTGCTGCTACAGTTGCTTTGGCAGCAGTGGATTCTAACACCATGRGCATTCTTGCAGCAGGAACACTCCACAGGCACCTTCAGTGTGTGCAGAAGGCACATTCCCAAGAACATCAATTAATTCCTGACATAAGGCTTGTGGGTGTTACATTATAAATATGAGGAAATTGTTTGAGTCACATTCCTTGATYAGGTTCCTGATTCTGGAAACAAAATGTTGATGGTTAGACTGATGTGAGAATGTGCCTTCAGGTGTCAGGCAGAAATGTCTGGGCAGAATTAAGAACCTAACAMAGAGAGCTTTTCACCAGTAACAGCAACCAGCTGAGATCCCAGCCCTCACATTGTATCCTGACAATATCTCATCCTCCTCTAGTTGCAGCTCCTTACTTCAGTTCAAATTCTCCTGAAATATATTACATCTGGAGTGCGAAGAAAAACCCAACACTATGTGCAACATAAAGAAGCTGCAGGTGCTGAGGAACCTGGAAAAAGAAAACAGGTCTTGGTGGGATAGAACTGGGTTATTTCTGGTTTGATACTGGTGATATCAGTGTTAGAAATGCATTTCAGGATTCTGCTTGGAGATCCAATTTACTGCCTGAGAACTACTCTTAGGGTTAAAAAAGTTATGTGGAATATCTTTTCTAAAATCTGTAAACCTAGCCTCAAATTAAGATAAATTATCCATTTACATCTGTWATTTAATTCAGCTTTTGTTTATTTATTAGACAACTGTTATATGAAATATTTTTTCTCATGGCCTTAGAAGGTAAAACTGTCTTTGCAGTATTCAACAAACTTCTGGTAGTCACAGAATGCTTTCCTAGTGACTGATTTTATGTATCAGCTTCACATATGGCAGCCCCTGTTTCAGGGATCATTATCTCAGGCTAAAGTGAGTGATTTCATCCTTCAGAGCTGGCAATAGAGGCAGGAGCTGAAAGCTTAACCACATCACCACCWTTCTYTGTCTGAGATGAAGAAGCCTGCAGRTTGCAAGACATCAGAGTTATTTCCATCAACTCTTACCCAAACAGGGGCATTTGTAGAATATACATTAGTTGTAGTCCCATTATTACTTTGATTTTTTGATGTTTGGTCCATCATGATTCCATTGCTGTCTCCAAATCACTGCTGCTGCTGCCGGCTGTGGGGCTGGAAACCACAGAGCTGGCACTAGCCAGGATGAGCCTCTCTCTGTTCCCAAAAACTTCATTCACTGCAACACAAACAGGGGAGTGCTTATGTTACTCTCCCAGAGGAAAGAGGAGTACAGCAGGTACAGCCTGGTGAAAACCAGGGAATGGAAATCCTGACCTGGTGTGGTTTCAAAGCTTTTTCTCTTGCCCCAAGTAAGGAGTTGAAGCTTAAAAGTCACAACAATTGCCTGCATATGATACTTCATTACAAGTCCTGTTATTTTTCCTCCAGAGCATTTAGAGATTTCCCTCTCATAACTCCTGTACCTAAGTACTGTGAAATTGATGAGCTTTGAAGAGCACATCATTAAGTTTAAATAATTTATTTCTGGTTTTAGTCTCTGGCTCCCGACAGGCTCTTAAAGGACTTCTCCAGGAAATCATGCTGTTTAGTTACTGGYAGCTACAACAACTAATCAAAACCAGTCCTCGCTTTTCCTCCCACAGGTACTCAAAAGWTGTGATAACCAAATCACAAAAGGAGCATTAGAAAAAAAAAAACAAAACAGGTATTATAAGAAATCAGGCATTATACTTCAGCTGCAAGAAAATAAATCATGTTAAGGATATCTCCAATTTAGAAAAAAAAACCCACATTTTTTGAAGCTGAAAATGTGATCACATATGCAGTCTTGGAGTATTTAAAAATACTAACCTACAGTTTTCAGTCGAGAGTCACAACATATTACAGAATACAAATACACCCTGCAAGCAAGGAGAGAACCACAACATTCAAAGAAATGAGAATATTACCTGCAGAAATCTTGCTTATGTCCCAAACACGCAGCCCTTCCCGCTCTCCTCCAAAGGCAAAAACAAAYGGGAAGTCAGGGCAGCAAGCTGCACAGAACAGAACTCCCTGGAAGGGTGGAAGAAAGCAAATTCATGTTAGGACTGAAAAAAATCTGTCTGAAAATAATTAAGCAAGTTTTAACAAATGTCATCTAAGTTTCTGAAACTTCTTTTGTAAAGACACAAAATGGAAAGCAAGAGCTGCTAATTATAAACAGTTAATCACATCTTTGTCTTGAATGTAGTAGATGCAAGCTGGAGCACCCATAGCTCTGCTCAGAGCATTGTGTCAGGAATTTGGATCTGAGGCTTTAAAGCAGTCTGCCAGTTCCATGAAGAATACTGCACTCTAATGAGAATGATTTACACAGAATATACAGATGTCATTCTTTGTCTCCCAGAGAGATGTTAGGTAAAAACAAGATTCAAATGAGATTAAAAAAAGGAGAAGCAAACATAGATTATAAACTTACTAGAATCAATAAATATTACTATACCATTTTCATATCCCTGGAATGGACTAAACTTGGTCTGTCTCCCAGGATATCCCAAATTTTCACGTATTTGTCAGCAGATGATGTCACAAGGCACCCTTTGATCTGACTGCTTAGTTGTAGCCCTGGAAGATGAAGAGTGCAGCARTGTGAGAGCAACAGGCAATCCTCATTTCACAGAGATGCATTTTGAAGTGAAGACATGAGAACAACCCTGATATTTTTACTAAACTCCCTTGCAGAACAAAGGAGCAAAATGTTAATAAAAGTTCCATGCTGCTACTGGTCCCTGTAGTGAGAGCAAGGGAACCATGTGATTTATTCTGCCTCCCAATCCTCTCAGCAGGATTATTCAACACCCTTGTTCAACAAGGAATCACTACCACCTCAGCCCTGTGGACTAAAGGCATCTTGCAGATGTGCCAGCCCACTGGGGACAAACAGGACACCAACATGACACACAGGCAATTTACCTGACACCTCTTCATCGTGAGCTTTCAGGGTAAACAGGGGCTTGTCAGAGCGAGCATCCAGACAGTACACAAAGCCATCGTCTGTGCTTGCCTAAGGAAACCACAACGTTTAAAAAACAGCCACAGTCACTCATTTGGGAAAAAAAACCTCCAGTGAAGTAATACCCATCCTGTGGTAAATCCCTGTGATCTGAGGCAGACACTGCTTCTCCCTAGGATATGTTACTCTGTTCCCAGGCCTGCAGCCCCAAAGTCAGACTGCACACAGCTGCTGCCCGAGCTATTCTATGAACCTCAGTTATGCTGCACTGATGACATGTCTCAATCCTATGCAAATTTCAGAAAGTGTATTTTGAAGAGAGTTGCCCCACAAAGCCTAGCCCTCATTTCAGGCAATGAAATTCAGAGCCTTCAGTCTCTTCACTGTCAGTTCAAAGCTTTTGGAACCATCAGTGGCTACAGGAAGGTCCTGAGCAAAGCTAAGTGTGATTATACCTGGAGAGATCCACACTATAAACCCAACAGAGCTGAGCAGCCTCTTCTGTTGGCAACACAGAACTAAACAGCCACTGAGATAAAAGACCAGATTTGGTTTTAAAATTCTTCTGTAAAGTTTTACAAAAATCTCACCAAGGTATTTTTACTTTGTACTCTAGGTGGCTCTTGGTTTATTCTCCCAGGTAACAAGCAATAGGTCAACAGAAAATGGCCTGAAGTTGCACCAGGGGTGGTATAGATTGGATATCAGCAAAAATTTCTTGAAATGGTTAACAAGCCCTGGCATAAGCYGYCCAGGGAAGTGGTGGAWTCCCCACCCCGGGGGTATTCAAAAGCCAAGCAGATAAGGCACTTACGGATGTGTTTTAGTGGTGGGCTTACAGTGCTGGGTTAATATTTAGACTCGATCTCAGAAGACTCTCCTGACCTAAAGGAGTGGATCACTCCACAGCAGCCAGGACGACCGTGCCCTCTAGTGCTGGCTTGAAACACTGAATTAACATTCMGAATCTCAGTTCTAATCAGCTATTTCTCAGCTGCAACTGCTTCATTAAGCGAAAAACAACTATGCAAAAGAAAAATATATCCCAGCCACTGAACACTGCAATGACATAACAAAGATGCCACCTCTGGAGTGAAAAAGCACCAGCATCAATAGCTTTTTTACTGTCACAATGAAGATACCAAGTGTCTTGAGATACTGAAAAACTACCTTAAAACTCCCCCAGACTGCATTTTTATAAYAATCAGCACAAACCATCCCAATTGGCTCCATTCTGATTGAGAAACATTATGAACACAAAAATACAGGCTAAATGATGTGGGAACAATCAACCAGAATARAAAAAACATGTACTCACCAAGAAATGACAAGGTGAAAAATGATTCCARATGACTCTCTCAACCTGACCACTGAAGCGCCACACTCGATGGTTGTCCTGGGGGTTTCTGCAGTCATACAGCACTGCTGATCTAGGGGAGAAAGGGACAGGAAATAAAATTTTAAAAATCAGGGTGGAACACTCAATGACAATTTGTTTTCCCCCTGGCATCTACAGAAGCTCCATGTGAACTATAACTAAAAAATTGAATGGAAACATCTTCACTRCTTAGTCTTATAATTCAGTAATAGATTAAAATCTTGCAGATAAGCACAAGATTTTTCCATATGCTTCAAAGTTACCAGCAGCCCTTCTATTGAAACTAAGCAGAGCTTGAATTTACTCAATACACAAGATATTATCACACACCAGACCATAATTATATGCAAATATATCACTTAATTATGAACAGACTTCAGTAAAGTCAAGTAATGATGCACTAATTAGGAAATTGTTTCATGATAGGTATGGATACATTTTCAAAGATGCTTAATAAAAAGAAATAATTTTAAAAACCCCAACAATCTTTACAAATAGTTGGAGAAACATTACTCCGCAAAGGAGAAAGAGTGGATGGAATTTAGTGGGTCCTCTAGGATTACAGGCACGTGCTCAGCTGGGTGGCTGCAGAATCTGTCTCAACTCAAAAAGCTCCTGGGTGCCAATGCAAGGGAGGAGTGGTCATGTCACTCCAGCATYATCTCACCACAATCAACATCCTCAGTGTAACCCACTCCCACTCTAGCCTATAAGTAAAGAAATGGGATGTAGCTTTCCCAGCTCTTTTACCAGGCATTTTATACACAACAATTTTTTTAATTTAGCTTGAATTTCGGGCTATGAAGGCATCTCCCAAAGTTCACTGAATTCCCTTGTAAGGCTTTGAAGGAAATCCAYGAAGGTGTCTACTAATTTGTAGACAGCACAGTGGTGTCCCTGGAGCCAAAGAGCCAGCTGAGAAGGGATCAGCAGCTGGTCACTGATTGGACATAAAGCTTCCTTTCATCAAAGAAGTTGAGATGGAGGACATAGACAGAAGCAAATTCCTAACAACAGCAAAAGGTCCTCCTCCAATACTTCAGCAGATGCAGCAAGAGCATAAATAGAAGCCAGAGAACTCAAAGGCTTGGCTAAAGATTGGCAAGTCTATAACAGGACTTAAGGACCAAGTCTTAAAAACAGAATGAAAAAATCAATTTAAGAAAATCATGGCGACAGAACAAAACAAAGATATCCCACTGAGATGGGAAGAGAAAGAAGTTTGTTAGCTGGCAGGACTTGCAAGAACTGGCAGCTATGGAGTAGTCCAAGTGTGCAGACACAAACCATTTCCCAACATCTCCAGGCTGYAATCACAGCCCATTACAGTTTGGCAATGCCCAGAGAGGCTGGAGGGAGARAACTGGGATTTGAAAGTCCCTCCTGCCCCCACCTTGGCCTTACTGGCTAGCAAAACCTGGTCAAATTTTCACAGGAATAAACAGTGACACATTCCCAATGCAGAAAATGCCATAAGGCCAAATTAAGAAATAAATTCAGTTTGGAGCAGACAGATACCTGGCACAGAAAATGTCAGTCCAGATGGTTAAAGCATTTGCTACCTCTGAAAAAAGAGGTAAGGAAAACTACATTTTGGCCATATACAAACCTGGCTTCCTTGCTGGAAAAAAATAACAGCATTACTCAAAATGGCACAGTTATTAAAAAAAAAATGAATGAAAACACAWGGCTTAATTGAATAGGAATACCCTCCTTGTGTGCCACATTTGAAAATATTACCCTGACATACTTATCGAATGATCCAGAAATGAGGGTCTGCGTTTCAAACGGATGAAATTGCAACGTCTGCACCTAGATAATGGAAGATTTTACATAAAACACATATACAAGAACTTTCTTGGAACRAAGCAAAACCAACCCTCCCCAAGCTCACACATATTCCTCCACCCAAAAYCCTCCTRTGAASCTTATTGATACTCAGATTGCTCATAAAATAGAGTAAGAGATGCACAWCACTTCAAATAACCCCACCTGGTGAAAAGAAAGTATTTTCCAATATAATTTGACTGAACAGAACCCCATGCTCCCTTTCTGCCCTAGATTAAAAAAAATAAAATGGTGGAGGAGGTAAGAGAGCATCTGCTTCCAGTTTATGGAAAAAAGTAGATGTTACCAAAAAATGAAAATCAGGAGTTTGTTCACAGCAAAATGAGGTTACAGCTATTAATAACTAGCTTTCACATTTTAATTACTGCGGATTAATTCATTTCTGAAGTAGCCATCACTGTGGTATTTTAGTATCATTTATTTTAAACCTTTTCCACCTAGAACAAACTGTAACTGACACTCACTGTTCCCTTAAGAGTTACAGTTTGACCTATGCTCAGAYATCTATTTTTGTCGCTTATACCAGAACTATTACATTCTTCACCATTAGGGTTTCACACAAAAAGTATTTTWAAAACTATTACAAATCTTTAACTTTCAAAAAGATAGGTCAAATAACATTTTAAAAAGGGCTGTTTGCAAAAGCAACTAATTCATAAATTTAAACAATTCTGTACAGTTCTGAGGGCTCACTACCCCAGCAGCTAATGAAAAACTGCAGTTCCTTTTTTCTCTGTATTTACAGTGCAAGAAACACAGCAATTAGTCCATACCTTGTCTGTATGTAGTGTTGGCCTGGCTGCTGCCTTGCCTACAGCCATGTCCCACAAAATCACTGTATTGTCAGCAGAGGCACTTGCTAAAACGTTCCTGGTAAAAAAATGGATCAAAAATCCATTAAGCTTTAAAACTCTTTATACAGATACAAATAAATCATGGTCTATAATCAAAAATACATACAGAGCTCAGTTCTGATAACAAGTATACTGTGGTCCATTGATTATTTCTCTCAAGCTGAAAAGACAACTCCCTGAAGGCAATTCTAAATTTTAAGTAAAGATTACCAAATGGGCTATATTACATGAGTAGAACACTTTAACAATGACAGTTCTGCTTCCATTTCCCCCTGACATTACTTAAAATACCACTTACTCTAAGATTCCTAAAACAAACTAATAAAGGCTTTAAAGCACTTTCTTTTCCTTGATATTAAATAGTATTTTGAAATATTATCTATGCTACTTTGTTCTGTTTGCATATGCATAAGGCCAAGAGCCTGACAAACCTGTTTTTAAAATATTTTGCTCTCTACTATCTGTTTACACTCCTGCTGAAGACCCAACACTATACCCTTTGTAGACTGCTGAAAGTAACCACTAAAATTGCAGTTTACAGACCCCACATTTCAACTTAAATTTGACCAATTGTCTTAAGAGCAATAAACACATCCTAAAAGTTTGATCAGAAAAAAACCCCAAAACATTCCCAAATGCCTGTCAAACACACATTATAATCCCTACAATTGCTTCATTGCTCTTAAAATCAGATCTATTACCACAACATGCTGTTTCTGATTGAAACTGCTCCTCCCTTCCCTTTTTATATTAACCAAGTGTTTCTGACTGAAAGGGTTAACATCCTCCTGGAAATGCTCYTTTCCCAAGCAATGTTACAAGGGAAAGTTGGGAAAATGCATAGTGAAGGCTGTAAAAACAGTTTGCTGTAATACCACTATGACCTACAGACAGAATGTTATTTGTAGAGAGCTGTCACAACATGCCTTGCTTAACAGAAAGAAACAACAATGAAACATTTTAAATATATGCTGCTTCAAGGAGTTCCTTGTGCTGTCCATAAGCTGCCCACTTCAGGGCTGGTTTTATTTYCTGAAAGATCTACCAGGTATCAATGAATGTGTAACTCAGCACATTACAGAATTATGCATTTCAGACTTCACTGSTGAAGCCATAATTTTTTTTTATACCTGTCTCTGTATTATCACCAGACAACCATTTCTAGGTACATGAAAGCCACTCTTTTGTAAGACTGATGGACTGATCACTGTCACACTCTGTGCATATGTGTACAATGTAAGAATAACATACACTACCCTGTAAACTGAGTGCCATTTATATACATTTACTGAGGTCTGTGTGGGTGTTTTCTTYGTCAGWATTTCGGTAAGAAAGCATTCCAAGTGAAGGCTCACACCTCATCAGAATATGCAGACCTGACTGTATACATCTTCAAAGGCAGAGACATTTATGACAACAGGAAAATCATTTTTTTTTTTTTAAATGAGCCTGTGTATGACTGAAGCAGTTTCAAGACCCCTGCTGAGGATCCTCTGACAGATGAACTGTTAGTAACCACCTTGGTGATAAAAAMCCAGCAGCATCTTTACTTCAGTCAGCACACTGTCCTTGACCTCTGCCCCAAGATGGGTCAGCTTTGTGCTCTTCAATAGCAGCACTTCATTTCTAGTTCATTGTGGCAACAGGGAATTTTCTCTGCCCAGAGGCCAGAGACAKTTCTTTAACTGTGCTATTAGGGCTCTTACACTCTTTTCTGTTCACAGCTTTGGGGCAAAAACCAGAAGAAAAAAAATAGAATAGCAAGGACTTTCTTCTATAAATCTATTTGTCTCTGTTGAAATGGTGRTTTAGGCCACTGGCAGAGCAGCATAGCTCCAGGCTGGACAAGTGAAATGGAGACAATTTATCAAATRCTTCAGACCCAGCTTTGCCCTGCCTTATCTGGACAACCTGCAAATCAAAAGTGATGTGCAGCAAAATACAAGTATTCAAAAGAAAAATTAAAAATCAAGAGGTCTACTTAAAAAAAGAAAAAACAGGTGTATTTTTACTGATTTCAGCACGCTTACAAGTTTTTGGATTTAGTGCGAAAATTGCATGACTAATTAAGAATGCAAATTTGTAACACCCATTGAACTAGTGWAGTATTTTTTTACCTGCTTTGTTTGTTCCATGAAAGATCAAGCACAGCATCAGTGTGTCCTTCCACKGTCCCTTCTGAAGATAAACTCTGTGTACACACATGACACAGACTTTGAAAATTACAGCTTTAATGTAAATCAAGCATTACTCCACATTAATATGAATTTCCTAAAGCCTTCACAAACAACTTCATCCTAAATTATTCTTAYTTGCTGCAACACAGCTTTTTAGAGAATGTCTATGCAGCACCTGCACCCTGCCTCCTATCCCAGATCTCATATTGCTCCAGCTGCTGGGTTTACAGAACTGGTTACTCCCTTCAGGCTACTAAAAGAAACCTCATTATTTCCAGCTAAGGTGCAACTTCTTCAGCTTCTTTCTAAACACTCCTGGCAGTTCCCTCTCTCTCCTCCCAATTAATTGAGATTTGGGTCCTTGTAACTGCCAGCACCAGCAACTTCTAAATTTAAATGGTTAAGATTTGAAGTTTACTGGGACACCCCATTCCTATTCTGCTCTTAATTCCAGGCTTTAGTTATTTAGAGAACAACTAGCATTTCAAATACTGTAGGGTAAAAAACCCCACATCATCCCTGCTCTAAATTTCCTCCATCCAACTAGGTAAACCACTTTGCAACACTTACTTTCTTTCCTTTCTTCTTCTTCTTTTTCTCTTTCTTGCMTCCAAGAGAAAAAACTGGTTCCAAGGATTCTACTACATCAAGATCCCAAATGTCAATAACTGGGGTCATGTTACCCACTGCAACATAGTTTCCTACAAAAAAAAAAAACCCAAATGCAACCACATTTATTTAGTTTTGAAACAGCATATTTGACAATCCAGCTGTGGCTTATTTCTTTGATTAAGTAGAACTTACATGCCACAATCTTCTATTTGAACATATTTACGTTTATAACTGACAAGAAGCAATTTAAAATTATCAACTGACAGCAGATGTTGCCAGAAAAAATGTGCTTGCTCTCCTTCCCCTTCAGTACCTCCCTTTACTGTTCAAAGAAGCTGTATAAAGTTTGTTTTTAAAGGAGAAACAAACCAAAACTAAACCATATCCCCTGTGCTATTGGAAAAAAAATACCTGTGAAACGCAGGAAAAGTGTTACTAAATACATAAATCTATATAAATTTTGTTGTGGTTTACATTTAGTCAACTGCATTGGACACAGAGATCGAACAAAAGCAACATTTCATTTGCAAACAAAGTCAAGCAGATTTTAGAGATTTCTATGATCTGCTAAATGACAATAACTTAATTGTTTGTAGTAAAATTGTTACAGCAGCATCACTAAGATGACTGTATCACCAAGCAAAAATACCTGATGCTCACATCTTGTTTATCTCAAGTCAAAGTTATGTTGATATTGATATTAACATCTTGATTTAATTTTTTTTTGCACCACTGGAATAAATTATTTAGTGACAGTATTACACTTACATACTTTTCAAGCAAAAATTCTTTAACTGGACATTTACATATCCTTTGTAATTTACCTGTTGATTCATCTGGACTAGGATCAAAATTCAACCACTCCAGACTTAGAGGGTAAGCAGGCAAGATAATGTCATGATGTACATAAAATGAGTCCTCTTCATGATTATAAACTGCAAAATAATTAAAGTCATGCAAGACATCAGTGAMAAGGGAAAGCAAACAATTATAAACACCTCCACAGAAGGCAGATGTGGCAAAAACTAAACTGTCAAAGGGATGTAGAATGTAAATTCACAGAGYGATCAGAGTTTTACTGTAGAGGCCACACTCACCAGGTACAAATGTACTTCACAGAATTACACAAAATCAACATTTTTTCTGTTACTTTAGAAAAAGAAGTGACAAGTTCAGCAAAGGTTTGATGCTTTATCCCCAGCACGCTACTTTGTGGGTGAGATTTCTTCATAATACATGCTCCATATCCAGCACTTTCACATCAAGATACATTCATTTTACAGGATAAGCAATTAAAAAAAAAATCTATTCCAGGTGAAACTGAAGGGAAAATGAGGGTAAGAAGACAGACTAGAGGAAGGTGAAAAAGTCAGAAGTTACCTTTAGCAGATGGTAACTGAGATACAGGAAAAAGCTTTGGTAAAGCAGCCATATAGCAAACACAAATTCCCTGTAGTCAGCTATTTTTCTCCTTGTAATAAAATAACTTACTAACTGGATGGAGAAAACCCATTAATTATTTCAACAGCATCTTATCATCATACACACAAAATCACTGTGCCATTTTTAAGTGCATGTGACAGATGCTCAGATACTAACTAAAGTTTCCAGTTAACTAAGCTGTCTTAATAGGTTACCCMATTTTAGAAACTGCAGAAGCCTTTGCTATTGTTTTGTAAGTTTATATTAAGTATAAACTTACAGTTAATAAAAACTGCAAACACCTCCAGACAWAGAAAATGCCACATGGTGTATCAAGAGATTCTTTCACACATTTTGGTTGTGTTGTTTGATTAAAATGAAAATATTTTGCCTACAGAAACATGAACCATAGCACAGGCAGCCAGAAACAATCTCAAAAAGAACAACAGTAAGAAAACATGATAATTTCAGCAGTAGTATTCATTGGCCRCAACAGAAAAATCTTTCACAGATCAAAATTAAACCTACTGCTAGAACAAGCAGGATTCAGGCCCTATTAAGGATTATCTCTTCTAAAGCACAATGATAAAGGTGCTGGTTCTTCCAGTCGAAACAGTGGAAAGCCCATTTAAAGAAGCAAGGAGAAAGTCAAAGGAAAAAAAAACCAGAACAACAGGCCACTAGAGGATGCTTGTGGGATATGGAAAGTAAGACGGGAAGAAAGAATGTATGTTCAGAGAATAAAAATGCCATATCCTTTTCTAAATGTTTTAGGAAATGAAATAAGGAAAGGAATTGCTATGCAGCCTGAAAGAGACAACAGTAACTCCACAGGAAATATTCTATGGTTGTGAAAAGCAGCTAAAGCACYGTGCCATGCAAAAGGACAGGGCAAAAGGGGAGAAAACTCCTTTCCCAAAACAACCCATATGGCACATGCTAGGCAAGACATTCCCCACATTCACTGTGAAGAACAAACCCAATGTCACTCACCATGGACCTCCAAACTGCAGCAGTCTTTATCAACTCTGCCACAAAGGACAAGATTGTCACTGGGCTTAATCAAAAAGTCCTCCTGTTCATATTGTTCCTGAACAGCAAAAAGGAGGGTAAGGGGCATTAAGTAATGCACATAAAAGCAGAAAACTATACATGTTCAACAGGTGGAACCAGTAATTCTGAACCATGACTGAAAACACACAAAATCCAAGACCCTGATGCACATCCACCTAAAACCATCTTATGGTGCTGAAAAGGGACAAGGGATCAGACCTGATGCCAGGGAGACTGAATAGTCATTAAATTAAATGGATGGACTTTTATGTAAAACCAGGCGGATTTGTAGAGTTATCAAATATGAAACCATATTTCAAAGCTATCATCACGGAGCTAATTGTTAAAAAGAAAATCACCACCAGGAGCCCACAAAGGTTATTTCCCTTGTGCTCTTGTGCTCTGACCACTTACATAGCACAACAGCATTTTACCCAATAAAGATGCTGCAAACCCTCCTCAAATCCAGGAAATAATTTCCCTGTCTACTTCCTGGAAAACATTTCCCAAAAAGTACTGCCTACAGCTCTACACGGTATTCTGCTGTACCAGAACAGATGTAATCAGTAATCTCATCTAATTGTCACTGTTACTRAAGAATGCAAGGAATTTGGGAATTTTTGTTAGTGAAAGATTAAGAACTGTACATAAGTAAGCAATCTTACACAGAGTACCATCCCTCCAATCTTCAACACATACAAGACTTTGTCATTGCAAGCTTTTAATTTCCTTTTTATTCACTTCAAGCATATTTCAATATTTGAATTCTATCAAGTCCTGCACAATACTTAGTCTCCAACAGTTCTAGTAGTAAATACCAAAAGACAACAAAAATTCAAATTGAAGAACTTTCAGAATTTCAGGGAAGAACTTGAGCATAGGAAGAAAGGCCTGAAGCAAAAATATTCATTTCCTGTGTATCTACAAACCCAGCTCCTGCAAAGAGGGTCCCCCAGTGGAAACTAATACAGGCAGAAGCAGCCAATACCACAGTAAATACAGATATATTATATATATATATATGTAATGCTGTGTATCTGTGTATCTAGGCTTTATGGGGATGTATTTCCTCATGCCACATCCTTAATTTGACACATTGCCCGAGTCCACCTCAGCCTMTTTCTTACACAAACTAGTGGAAGAGGCAGGAGTCTCGTAATCTGGGAAATTTTCTAATTTTGGCCACCAGTGGCCTGAGATTTGTTATTACTTCAAGTGTTTTCCATGTCCTACCAGACAGCTGAAAAATCCCTCCACACAGAGAAGGGCATGGTTTAAGTAAGGAGTCAGTTCACCTTCAMCTCCTACTTAAATGCAAAAGGAATTTAAGGCACAGAAAGCAACCTTAAGAGAARAGAGCACCATCCAATCAGAAATCTGGCACACCTTTGAAAACAGACTGCAAGCACTTACACACCCCAAGGCAGAGTGGAAAATTTAACTGATTTTKAAGTTTATGATGTCTAAGGTATTTGACATTTTTTAAGTACTTACAGTGGTTTTTAGAGTGATGTATGGATCGTTTTCATTGCTCCCATATACTGCCAGAGAGGCCAAAGAGTCTCCAAGTTTTAAAACACCTAGATGGGAATTTCAGAACACTTTTTATATATGTCAGTGATAGGCAGMGTTAGAAACTCCTGTACCAATACCTGTATTAGCTATTTTTGCTAARTAATACCAGGAGTGGGCTAAATGAACTTCCAACTTCCAAACATAAGTTCGTTTTCAGGGACTTCTGCTGCTCTGCTCCAGCACAACAGCAGAGAGAGTGACAACCTTTCCAGCATGCTCCTGGTTYGGGTGTCAGGGAGGGGGACACTGAACTGTTTCCCTCACTAAATGATTCCCAAGGTGGGCCAAGAAAATTATTAAAAATGTGAACTTTCAGCATCTGACATTTAACAGTGTGTAGCTTTAGGATATGATGGTCAAGTACAACAYGAAGTGGAAAGGTTCTTCACCTACACTGCATGCTGACACACAGATTTTTCTTACCTGTGTAYTCCTCTTCATCGTAATTATCCAAATCATATTCATCCAGTTCATGATCAGACTGCTCTTCATTGTTTTGGGAAGATTTAGTGCTGCTGCCAGGAACGGGTGCACTCGTGTCAGATGCTGTCTGGCCTTCATCAGTTCCACCAGCAACATCCCTGGCAAGAGACAYACAGCCCTGAGAAACTGTGGCAAAAACAGAGCAATCCCAGGGGGCTGCTGCTGAGATTTCAGCATACAGTCCTAGTTGCTCACATGGGTTTCACGACTTTATGCCAATAATTCAGAAATCCATTCATCCTTGACCTTTTCCCAAAATACAMGGCACCCAGAGAAGGTTTTTCCTTGAAACTTTTCATGACAAAATGTGGCAAGGTAAACTATGTGTGTAAGTCCCTTTCTCTCACAAATTTTTTCTGAATACAATGCTCTCAGCCTCACTTCTGTGCATTCACATGTGCCCATGTGATTACTTCCTTTTTTTTCCCCCTTCTTCAAACTTTTTAAGACCTAATTTTCTCATACTTAGGCAAACTCAAAGTAACCTAGAATTTGTTATGTAACTACATCCTGTGGATTATTCTTATGGGGTAAACAACAACACATCTAGAAAATTTGGAACTTTGTAGGAACAATTTTGTATGCAAGGAATTCAGGAGAAGGAAATGTACATTAAACACTGGCTAAGGAGCCAACAGACACCCAAGATGTCCCAATGGAGCATGATCCAAAGAAACTCAGCCCTGCTGAACTGTATTTCTGTCCTTCTGCACRCAAAATTCCCAAGCAACAATGGGGCAAGGCAGTGCTCAGATACAGTTTTTAAATTTAAATATCAGAAACCTAATTTTCCCAATTTGTTCAGTAAAATAAACASTTAACATTATCAATTTAAGCAGAGACAAGTATCAAAAATTAGAGACTCTAAATCTGAGTTTGATTTGTGATCTTTGCACAAGGGAAAAAGTGAGGTGTTACAACAATTTCTACAAAGTAGAACAAATTRTAAACAGACCACAACACCTTTGGTTGTTTCAGATGGTCTTCARATTTCCAATCTGATGTTTTACAGAATGCATAAAAAACAGTATCTCAAATCTTTCCATGCTTTTGAAATTGCAAGAGAAAGGAAATCACTCAAAAKCTTACACATATGAAGGGGAAGAAAGAAACTCCACAGAAAACAGGAATATTAAACTGAATTAGTTAAGAATTTAACATAAAGTGAGAATCTTCCAAATGTTTAGGAATATTCTGAAACCATTAAATAACCAAAGCCAGAACAAAATACATTCTGGGATGATACACTCTGTCCAACAATAGTGTCACTGACATGAAATGGGGTGGATTATATTCATCCCACGATAAAAACTTTTCCTGCYGCCTGCTGCACCTGTTCAACCACACACCGCGGTACAACCACAGACCCTACACAGCTGAAACACTCAGAARCCTAAATCTATTAACAGATCTAACAGAAAAAGGCCAAAAGATGGAATCAGAAAATRGCCAAAAGATGGAATTTTTTTCTAGACGAAAGACAGACATTCCTTTCTTGGTTTCTATAGGTTATGCTTCCTAAATACACCACTTCTGTTAAACATTTTTCTTAAAAGCAGAGCAAAAACCTCAATACTACTACATAACCAAGAGCTTTCAGTGCTGAGGGGAGATGTGATGTCTGTTTGCCTTTTTTACCAAAGCACAGATACCACGTCAGTCTGATCCTCCAGACCTAGACTGTCACATCACAGCCTCGGCTTTTYCCCAATCAGTTCGGGACTCCTATCTCGGATTGCCACACCTCTAAAGCACCCCCAGTTACAAACCCAGCTCTTCATCCCCTCGTTAGGCGGCAACAGCAGCTCCAGAGAGGGCCAGGCCCGAAATGCTCATCCAGCCCTGACAGCCCGCAGCTGACAATGCGGAACCACACGGGAACACGGCTCGTGTTGTCCTGTCCGCGACAACAGCAGCACCTGCTCCATTCCATGTTTTTCCGTTCCGTGAAGCTCCCTTGGCACAGYGGCTCCAGGAGGAACTCGTGCTGCCGCTCCCCGCTGCTGCTTCCCGGCCCGGGGGGCTCCAGCACAGCCCGGGAGATGTGGCGCATCCCTCCCGCTGCCCCGACTCACCCCAGCCTGTCCTGCGCCTCCTCGATGAGACCTTTGAGCTCCTCCTCGCTGAGCTGCACCTGCGGGCGGACACAGAGGGGGTGAGGGCGGCGGCGGGGCCGGGAGCGGGCGGGGGTCTCTCAGCGCCATCCCAGCCCCGGCCCCACCTTGTCCGGCGTTTCTTTGGCCACTCCGCGCCGCACCCAGGCAGCGCAGGGCACCGGGCAGCTCATGGCGGTCCCTCACACGTGCGAGCGGCCGGGCGCACCCGAGTGACGGCACCGGAGAGGCCCTCAAGGAACGGCGAGAAACGGCGGAGGAGGCGGGGATAAGTGCAGACGCCATCTAAGAGCGCCAGGACGGGGAGAGGCTACAGTGAGAGGGGCGTGGAGTATAAATGGCGTGGGCTGGAGTGGGCGGGGTGAT